TAATATCTACTTGTATTACATTGAAATAAAAAAACTAAAATCCTGGTCCAGAGAAAACAGAATGGCAGGTGCAACCAACGGCCTGGCACGACGGCCATGAAACTCTACATCGGGGTAATTATTTTGAGGAATTAGTAACAAAAGTAGGTGTATATTCAGTTTAGCAAGAAATGTATACTCATGACTTTAGAAGAACAAAGACCATTTAATAAAGGAGGCTCAAAACTGAAGCTAGAGCTAAAATATTTTGATTAGAGGAATACATACAAGTCAGTGACAAGCTACTGGATGTGCTAGAAGGGGGCGGACAGCACAGTGAAGAACACAAGCTCAGGGCTGAGACCTTTCAGAGGACAGCCGGGGAATTTCTGTGACTCGGCAGGGCCCTGCTAGTGTACAAGGCCGTTATCTTCCTGGCAGCATCTAATTGGAAACCAGCAGGGATACCTGGAGTGCTTATTGTACAGAGAAGAGAACTAAAATACACAGGATAAAAGATATCCTGTGTCCTGAAGTGTGTTCTTAGCAAAACATGATCAGGCCTCTTTAACCCTACCCATTTCTGTTGTACACTCATTTATTTTAGTTTGTGTTGCTTGACACACATACACGGTAGTGGTGGGGGAACGTGGTGGTGGGGGTCACATGGTCTTTTTGCCCCTAAAAATGGAGGTGAAATTTTCTTGAAATCCCATTTCCAGTTAGGCGTGGTGGCATATGCCTATAACCCCGGTTACTCGGGGGCCGAGTTTGGAGGATCACAATTTAGATCCTAACACTAAAGAAAACTTACGCAGGTGAGTAATAGAGTCGTTGCCAAGCACGAGTGAGGCCGTGGACTTAACCCCGCATTGAAAAAAAAACCCCAGCTTTAGCATTCTCATGCTCCAGGTGCGTCTTAAATGCTCCTCCACATTTCCAAGGTGTGGGAGGTACCTGTTGCTCTGGCGTTCTGGTTTGCTACCCTCCCACACCACCCGGTCACAGCCTGTCATTCCACAGAAGCAGCCCGTCATAGGGAGCACTTCCTACTAGGTATTGAAGGGAGCCTTCTTGTTTAGTTTTAAATTGCTCCTACATGTCGCTTTTTTTTTTTTTTTTTTTACTGGAAATATCACCTAAGAACATTTTTCATGACCAAAGGTAGAAATCAACACACCAATCTTCAGCTACATTAATGTGTACATCACTGGTGCAATTTATGAGCTGGTAGTGATGATGGAGGTCATTCAGATTCCGTTTTTGCCAGAGAAGACAATGAAGCCCAGACATCTGCTCCAGGGAAACTTTTCAATTTTGTAGGGATTGAAAACAGTATCTGATTTTTAGGAGACCTGCTAAATATCTGCAGAATGTTTCTACATTGGGGCTATCCCACCTAAACAAATAAAATGAAAAAATCTTTATTAAGGCAGTATTTTAAATAAATGCCAGTTGTATCCATTTTCTCAAAACCCACTTAAGGGTACATGAGGCATCAGGTGAAAAGTGGATGCCTCATGGAGGTTTAGTCTTTTTGAGGGGGGTACTAAGGATCAACTCACGACCTTGCACTTTTGAGGCAGTCTCAGTGCCACTGAGCTAAATCCCCAGCCCCTCATGCAAGTTTAGTCTTTAGGATTACTGTGTGAACATCCACTTAATTCATATTTTTTTTCTTTTCCCAAATGCAATCACATCACCAAATATCACACAAAACAGCTACTTTCCCAGTTTATACCCAGGAGTACTTTCTGAGATTTTCAGTGTACTCTGCTCTAGTATTATGTTATGCATGTGTATAGGAAGTAGAAGGAAGTGGAGTAAGAGAATACTGCATTAGCATTAAAGATGTGTGAATGCTGTTAGTAAAGAAGAAAAAAGCCAAACAGTCCTGTAAGTTCCTAGCACTTGAATACAGTAAGAAAACCATGAGACAGAGATCACTGGCTTAACAAATGGATGACTTTATTGAGAGGACCAAAAAAAAAAGAAAATGTTGGTGTTTACAGCCAACCATCCAGGAAAACAAAGCACAAAGACTGATACAAACTTTGGTTTAAAAATTATGCATAACATCAATATTAAATCTGGTATTTGAAGAAACAAATCAGACACAGGTGTAGAATACAAACCATGAAAACTTAAGCTTGCATAGATGAACTGATGCAGATGTTTAAGTGGTACTTAAGGAAGGCTTGAGCACACGATTGCAGTGTGCCTTAGTGCTGCTGACCACCTTGACCTCCAAGACACATGAAAGTTACCAGCACCATGTTTCTCATCCTCCTCGATGAGGTTATGAGCAGGAACAACCTGTGCTGTACGAAGGTGGATGGAAATAGACCGCCTCACCGGCCTCGCTCAGATGGATGTACACACACCCAGCAGCACCCGCCACTGCTCACCTTGAAGGCATCCACACAGCGTCCCTCAGTTTCACTTCATCTCTCAACAGGCATGTGGTGTGAAGTTTTCTGTCCTCAGACAGGCAACTATATTCCGTCACGGTTCTGTTAAGCTCCATGACATAGCTATTTCAAAGCTGCTTTTGCCTCTTGGCTATAAATGAACAAGCAGGAGGGATAACATCTCATTTGCTTTATAAACATATCCATATTCCCGATAACAAAGGGGGTCTTACCAAAATATGGAAAATACTCAAGCACTGTGTAATCTCTCTTGAGATCACTTTTTCAAACTATAACACAAATGACTTTATCACCTCAAATTTCCTAAGCAACTTGATTTATATGAGCAAACTCTTATTTTAAAATTCAGCACCTTTTCAAAATATGTATTGTGCTGGGATGGATTCTTATGAGAAAATCCATATTACAGAAAATTCTCATGTTGGAACTTCTTTTTTATATGCTATTTTCCCACTGTCCCAACTAATTTGTTTTAACATCTAATTCAGCGTTTTCTGAAATGAGCATTGAGTGACCTGTAAGAGGCAGGTAAAAACGTAGGTATTTCTGAGAAGAGGCATTTGGCTTTCAATTTTTAGGAAGAGTTAAAGTTACAGCCCATGGTTATTTTAGAGACTAATTTAATCAAAAATACGAAAAGTCTAACAGCAAAATTCCTTTCACCAAATTTAATGGCTAGAAACTATTTTGGCATGTGTGGTCTTAAATTCAGTGCAACAAAATAAGCCTTAAGTATATAGTGTATGATAGTCTGCTCTCTCAACTGTTCTCTACTCTTGCTCTTTTGTGAAGGAAATCTTATTCAAATCCCATGTAGCAACTATTCTGATCTTTATATTTGAACCTCAACAATAAACATCAAGCACTGAGTTGCACTGGAGCCTTAAGTATATAGTGTATGATAGTCTGCTCTCTCAACTGTTCTCTATTCCTGCTCTTTTGTGAAGGAAATCTTATTCAAATCCCATGCAGCAACTATTCTGATCTTTATATTTGAACCTCAACAATAAACATCAAGCACTGAGTTGCACTGTTAATTCTTCCCTGATCTGGAATGCTGAAATCCGCACAGTGCTGGTGCCCAATGCTAGGAAAAGTTACTTAAAAAGAGAAAAACATTTCTAGTTTTCTAAAAACACAAGACATAAAAGTATATTAAATCTGTTGAGAACACCTATTGATAAATCTATTGCGAACTATATTAAATCTATCCAGAATACCTTTGTATGTTCTCATCTTTGTATTAATGAATGAATGAATGAGAATGGTTTTTAAGGCCTGTTATTTCCACAATCAACATGATTACTTACATGACTGTGTCACTTTGTAGGATTAAATAGAACCCATTAAAACCACTCGGTGTCACATCTACCAAAGCAAAATTTTTCATAATTTTGTCTTTAGAAAAACTTCACATGAGCAAATCTCCCACTGCAAACAAATATCTGTATTTTGCTTGGCTTTCTCATGTTTTTGTTAATGGCAAGCATTTTGGTACACACAGGTACTAATGAAATTCTAGTCTAAATGTCTTCATGATACAGGAGAACCTTTGGAAATATCTCCCACAGAGTTGCCATAGAAAAGGAGGACAGTAAACTCTCAATTATTCAGAAAGCGATCACCTGGCCTGGAGGACCCGGTCAGAACATTTCCCTCTCCCTCTACCAGTCTTTGTGTTCACGCCTCTGCTTACTCAGGAGACTGACAGGATACGTCTGTCAGTGTCACAGGTCAGCCACGGCACAGTGGGAGGACAGGTCCAAAGCTCCAGACGACGAAGACACTTGGGGATCATCTGCGGATTTTATTTCAATGGAGACTTGGCTGCTGTTCACAGAGGACTACATTGGCCTCATTTGGGAGTCAAGCTAATTTAAGGCAACACTGTTCCTCACAGACATCATTGGCGTAAGTGCAGGACTCATCAGAAAAGTGACTCTGTAATACTGATATTTCCTCAATTCATCCTTACCTTCTTGACTTCTCTAGAATGAAAAATTTTAGCACTTCTACTAACAGCTGTTAAAATTCCAGGGGCAACAATAGCCTCAGGTTCTTCCTGTTAGTAGTTTACCTACCACCATGGACAAAACGGATTCTTCAGTAAAGGACTGGATGGTGTGCCACATGCAGTGCTAACCAGAGGGTCTACTGCCTGCTCCTCTCTGCCCATGTTACTTTATGATGTGCTAACTATTCTGTCAACAGCAGAAGCAGATATAAGGGCCAGGGATTTAGCTCAGTGGTTCCGCCACGTGCCTCACAAGTACAAGGTCCTGAGTTCAGTCCCCAGTACCAAAAAAAAAAAAAAAAAAA